CCGGGAATAGGTATATCAAATCGACCCCATCAGAAATGTTACTTCGATATCACATCAGAGGATGTTCCACCAGGGGATTTTTGACATAAAGCCAAAGGATGTTCTGGAGCCTAGCACAAAAGCAAGGAATTGCACCTCCAGGTCAGCAAGAGAAGTCACCAGGTCAGCAAGACATCCAGAATATGAATAGTAGTGACAAAAGCCTCATGGAGCACCTAAGCCAATTATTGTCACAGCAAAACCACATGTCGGTGGCAAGAATGAGTTCGCAAAGCCGACCAATTGGATGGGCATATATGTTCGAAAGGAACAATCAATAGCACAAAAGGACACGCCAGAGAAAAGACAAAGACTCAATGAACTACAGAAGGTGGGCGGACGGGTTTATCTTCCATCATTTCCTCATCCAATCGGAAGCCAAAGAGCCAGCGCGATCCCGGTGCCAAGTAGTTCTGAATCAAGTTCTGCATTTCATGCATCACTCTGGATAGCAAGCGGTAATCATATCCTCGTTTGATGATGGTGATGACTTTGTATTATGTGTTGACATGGGCGAAGAACAAGTGCATTTTCGCTGAAGGTAAAAACGAGCTGAACCTACTTGCTGCAAAATGGGTAAGCCCGGTAGGAAAGCAAAATTCCTTGAAGGTGTCCGAAAGGACATCCAGAATATCGTGCAAAACAAACAGGCGTTGAGATCTTTGCCGGTCGAACAGTCTAGAAAGATTAAGCAGTCAGAACCAGACAGAATTGTCCATAGCAAATTGGTCCTTGTGGAGAAAGTAGATGAATCCGGTAGTGAACTTTTGTAAACAAAGATCCGGACCTAAGAGCAATCATCCGGTAGGGAAGCATACAATCCCCAACCATTTCGTCAAACGGAAGACACACCGTATTGCAGACCATAGCCAGTCATAGATTCAATATTATGCGGTTATGAGATGCGACAGGTGTTTTTCTTGAAGCCGATGAATGGACAAAGGGACAGGTAAGCTGTACATGGCACCTCCCAGGAACTTTGCCTTGCCAGATCATGATCCAAAGCAATTACTGCATTTAAAGTGATCCAGCCAATTTATGGACTGCATGATTCACCACAGAAATGGACTCGGTGCTGCTCGGACAGTTGGAATTGGAAACGTAGCGAGAAAAGGAACATAATATAAGACCATGGTTTGGATTTGGACGGTTTGGAAAAGCCTCCCAATTCCCATATCCCACATCCGCTTGTATTTACACATTGCTACAATTTTCGCTAATGCAAAGAAACACGGGACGCAAGCATATTATTTGGTAGGGGTAACAAATAGTAATTTGTAGGTGGATAGACCCATTCCGTGGAGCCCGTATGTATGTTTGGAAATCTTATCCACTCAAAAGAGTCGTGGGTTCGACTTTTGCAGGGGAATCATAGGTGCTCTGGGATGGATTGGGACATACTGAGTGGTTAGTATGTCATTTTGCAAAAGCCAAGCCTTTTGATTTTTCTTTATCCACTCAAACAACTGTGCTGAGAGAATTCAAATTTCAGGCAATCGTCGATTGCAAAAGCATCTATGACCATCTCCAGAACTTCGTATCTCCGGAAACGTCGGCGATAAGAGAGTCGCCATTGACCTTGTCATCGTGAGAAAAGCGTTGGCTCGCGTCGGAGGTGTGAAACAGTGAAACGGCTGCGCTTTTCGTGCGTCATCATCAAAACAGGATGGTAAAAGTTGCAATAGAGAAGATTTCAAGTGAAGAAGTTCGAGCACTCTTCGAAAGCATGGGTGAATAGATGTGTACTACATGGAGACAAAATGATATAAATATGCAAAGTGATGCAAAGTGCATGTCGCAATCGAGTTCCATGAGGAAAACCAAGATTCCAGCACGCCATATAAATAGCAAACAATTTGCAAGTGAAGACAATCGTTCGATCTTTCTGTTTACCAAGACCACCAAAATGATCCAGATGCAAGAGAACGTAAAGATACTAGACAAGGCCGAAGAGACCTTGAAGAAAATCCCGGAGGTTTATTCCACTGTACTTCGCGATGGGGATGTACAACCGCTGCCGGATGGATCCCAGAAGTAGGGCTCAATCAGGGAAAACCTTGATTCTGGATTCTTCTCCAGGTTTTTGAAATTAACGCACAGGTGAAGGGAAGCCAAAATCATCAATGAAGACAGAATTGGTGAAGAAACAAATGTTGGTCGGAGGATAAGGCATTCGCAGCAGCAGTGGCAGATTAGTGCAATGAGGGAGCGCGCAAGTTGCACCATTTTCCAGCGTGACGCAACAAATTCCTGCAGTTCATGTTGCAAGATACTTCGACAGATCAGATCCTTGAATTGTCAGAGTTAGCTCAATTCAAGCAAGAGCAGGAGACCGTGGATCAGTGGATATTCGAAGAAGGTCCAATGTCAGAAGCAAAGGCCATGTCAGATAGATATCGCCCGAATCGCGGCCCTCAGACCAAGAAAGAATTTTGAAGCTGCGTTTAAACCAGCCACGTTGGTCTAAGGATGTCAGCCGTGCCTGCGTTTCGGATCAGGCCAGTAGCTATCAAATCGCCAGACGACGCATGGTTGATGCGACTTGGCCATGAGCGTATAAAAACTGCGAGGGAGACGAGAGCAGACTTTCGTTTGGTGCAATTATGCGTTGGACATTGGATCAAAGGATTAACACCGTTGTTTTGGGGCTGCCAATTCGACCTAACGAACACCAATGCCTGCCTACAATTATTTATATTATATAATCAAGCCAAGTGTCGACGACCGAAAAAATGAGCCATAGTCCTCGGAAAAGATCAAACAGATCCTAGTTCTTCTGTTTCAAGTGATCTCCTATACAGACCTAATCCACCGTTTTTCTACCCTCAAATCAATGCAGAAAAAGCAAATGCCGGAGGACAAGCAAATCATCATCCCATAACAATATAATTAGACATCTCAGTAGGATCCCAAGCCAACCAACAGCTCTTCGATGCGCTTCAGCTCTTAAACGACAACGGAATTGGCCAGATGATCCTCATGCGTTTTCCACCAATTTCGCTGCAGCGGTCCCCAGTAAATTAAGGCGTTAGCTCATAACATATCGGGTTGCTATTTCAAAACAATGGTGCAAAGTATGCCATTATTAACAACGTGGATCTCAATCAATTTTGCAGCACACTAGTTTTTGAAGATTTCATTCACGATTAACACCACCAAAATCCATTCATCAGTGCCTGTGTTGTCAAATACCCTTATCTTTCAAACTAAGTAATTACCAAACTTATATTTTAAGAATAACAAATCACTATTTCTTAAATACAATGGAAATATATTGAACCCACTATTCAATACGTTAATCCAAAAATGCGTTCAAATTTAAACAAACAATTTTATTAGCCTAATCTATGTCGAATGACCACCACCATGATATTTAAATCATCTATTGTCATGCCATAGCAAGGAGCACATTGACATAATCGTGACTTTTCTGGCCCTCGATTCTATTTATAGATCCTATGGGTTATATATTGTGAGTGTGGATGTGTGTTATAAATGTGTCTTTATGGTTGTGTGTTGTGGTTGTGTTTGTATGGTTGCGTTTATGGCTGTGTGTTTGTGATTTGTGTGTGATTACGTTTGTGATTATGTTTGTGTGGAATTCTTAATACATAAAACAAAATAATCCAATGCTATCAGACGATACACCAGGCACCCCAACAGGGTTTGTCCAAATCCCCGGCCTTTGAGTGCCAGGTACGCTCGCTGCTTAGTGGCAGTGGCGTTGATTTGCCGTCCGACCCGAGGCAGCAAAACCGTTTCCAGGCCCAACGATCCAAAGAAGGTTTGAAGTTTCATTCCCTTTGCTCCTAGTAGCTTCTTGCCCCTAGTAGTAAGGCCAGGAGCCCCTAGTGGCGTTCTTGCTCCTAGTAGCGATGCCAGGAGCCCCTAGTAGCCTCTTGTTACAAGTGTGAAAAAAGGGGCTTAAGATTTGGCGCGCGAAGACTTCGGGGAAGGGCACGTCTGAACCAAAAGAACCTTCCAATCGAGGACAACAGACTGGTCAAGGATGCTAAGTTGGTGCTGCTCTTGACTCTAGCGGGCCAAATCCACAATGCTTGCCGCTTGCACCCACAGCCTGACTATGACTATACCAGCAGCCAAGAAGCTCCAGCAAGTCAAAAGAATCATATAGAAAACAGCCGAATATATTCTCTGAACCTTTCTCATCCATGTGCACACTGAGCATCATGGTGGCAAGCACCAACAGCAAAATCCTGCGTTGGTTGAATAAGGCGCTGCCCCTTTCTTCCGAGCAATTGAGAAAAATCATAGCACGGCGACCTGTTTCAGGCCAATCTGAGCTCCTTCCGACCACAATCGCCACTACCAACTTCAGCACCTCATTGATCTTGGCGCGTTGAACAAATGATGGTTTGGGAAGCAGCACCCACGCGCGCTCTAAGTTTAACATGTCAAAGGTGGCATCACCTGCTTCAGGCGAATGCAACCAAACCAACTGTCACCCATCTTTACGGGCGACGCATGAGACTGAGTCACTCCGAAAAAGTTTATATGGCTTGCAACAAAAGAACTCGTCGTTTCTCTTCTTTTTCACATCACAACTTGTTGACTCAATCAATGCATTCAAGCATGAACGGCTGATTCTTCCCCAGCAATCAGGACGCTGTGCCGCGATGCATTCAGGACTCGGATGTAGACGCTGGCATCGTTGCCTTCTTTGTACAAGTGAGGAAGCCGCCGCAAATCTTTGATCAATTCTGGCACCACTTCGTCCACAAAATCTGGCGGCATCTCAAACATCAGGAACACGTCTCTGGAGCGCTCTTGGATCAATCCCAGCCTTGATTGCTTGTAGGCCAAATGCCTGGTTACAACATTGCCAGTGATCTCGGTGCTTGCACCTTCAACCACATAATTCACCTCCCCAACATCAACTTCCACTGGAGGACCGCTCTCATCCTTGTCAAGTGCCAGAAACCTATCTCCA